ACAGACAAATAAAAGCTAAAGGAGTTTATTGCCACCAAACCAGCAATGAAAGAAATACTAAAGGGACTGTTGTAAAAAGAAGAAATCGAAAGGGAGAAAGGAACACAGGCATAAAGAATAAAAATGGCAACAAACAAGTACCTTTCAATAATAACCTTAAGCATAAATGGATTAAATGCTCCAATCAGAAGGCAAAAGATAGCTGAATGGATAAGAAAACATGACCATATATACGCTGTTTGCAAGAGACCAACCTCAGAACAAAGGACTCACAAAGTCTGAAAGTGAAGGAATGGAAAAAGTGTTTTTCAGGCAAATCAAAATGAAAAGAAAGCTGGGATAGCAATACTTATATTTGACAGAAGAGACCTCAAAATTCAGGCCATAACAAGAGATAAGAAAAGCCACTTCATAATTCTAAAAGGATTGATACATCAAGAGGATATAACTCTGATAAACATATATACAATACAGGAGCATTCAAATATATAAAAACTACTTCTGGAGGATACTAAGGGAGAGATCACATAAATACAATCATAATAGGAAACTTTAATATTCCACTGACAAAACTTGATAAATCTTCTAGACAAAACAAAACAAAACAAAACAAAATCAACAATGAAACAGAAATTCTAAGATACCACTTGATCAGATGGAACTAATTGACATCTTCAGAATATTCCACCCCAAATCTACAGAATATACATTATTCCCAAGTGCACAAGGGACATTTTCAAAGACAGACCACATATTAGGACACAAGCTAAGTCTCTACCAATTCAAGAAGATTGAAATCATATTAAGCATCTTCTCAGACCACAATGACATGAAATTAGAAATCAGCTACCAGAAAAGCACTCAAAAACAACCAAACATATGCAGGCTAAATATTATGCTATTAAACAATGAATGAGTTACCAAAGAATAAATAAAAAATATCCTGGAAACAAATGAAACCAATGAAAATAAATACACAAAAATTCAAAATCTATGGGGCACAGTGAAAGCACTCCCAAGAGGAAAATTTATAACACTGCAGGCCTATCTCAAAAAAAGAATAAAAGCTCATAATAAGTTATCTAACACCACAACTTAAAGAATTAGAAGGAGAACAACAAGAAAAGTCCAGAGTAAGTAGTAGGAAATAAATGACGTATGGTCCAAAAAACAAAAAAAACAAAAAACACACACACACAAAAGAAAATCCTTAATACAAAAGATCAATAAAACAAAGAGCTGGTTCTTTAAAAGAATAAACAAGACTAATGAACCTCTAGCAAGACACACAGGAAACAAAGAGAGAGGACCCAAAATCAGGAATGAAAGAGGTGAAGTAACAACTGAACCCATAGAAATACAAAGGATCATTAAAAAACAAAAACAAAAAAAAACTATGAACAGTTTTACTCCAACAAATTGGACAACCTAGAAGAAATGGACATATTCCTAGAAAAATACAACTTTCCAAAACTCAATCAGGAAGAATCAGAAAACCTTAATAGGTGGATAACTACAGATGAGATTGAAGCAGAAACAGAAAAACAAAAAGAAAAACAAACAAAAAAACTTGCAGCACACAAAAGCACTGGCCTGGATAGTTTCATAGGGGAGTTTTACCAAATATTCAAAGCAGAAATAAATCTATCCTCCTCAAATTATTCCAAAAAATCCAAAAGAAAGGAACACTTACAAGTTCTTTCCATAAGGCTAATGTTATCCTAATACTAAACCAGATTAAAAAAAAACTACAAAGAAAGAGAATTATAGGTCAATATTACTGATGAACGTAGAGGCTAAAATCCTCAACAACATTTTTGTAAATAAAATCCGGCAATATGTTAAAAAGATAATACACCATGACCCAGTGGGATTTATTGCAGTAATGCAAAGCAGGTACAATTTTCAAAAATGTATAAATGTGATGCAGTACATAAGCAGATTGTAAGACAAAAATCACATGACCGTATCAATTGATGCAGAAAAAGCATTTGGAAAAATACAGCACCCATTTTGACAAAAAAAATTTCATCCCCACTGTGGGAACAGAGGGATCATACCTCAAGATAACAAAAGCTATCTATGACAAACTACAGCCAACATTATATTCAATGGGCAAAACTAAATGCATTTTCCCTAAGAATAGGAGCAAAACAGGGATGACTGTTTTCACCACTGTTGATCAACATAATCCTGGAAGTCCTAGCCATAGTGATCAGACAAGAAATAAAAGGCAACCAAATTGGAAAGGAGGTAGTAAAACTCTAATTACTCACAGGTGACATGATACTATTCTTGGAAAACCCTAAAGCCTCCACCAAAAAAGCTCCTAGATTTAGTAAATGAATTCAGAAAAGTAGCAGGATACAAAATTAACACCCAAAAATCCATGGCATTTTTATACACCAATAATGAACTCTAATAAAGAGAAAGTAAAAAAATAAATAAATGAACACATTTACCACTGCTACAAAAGCATTAAGATACCTAAAAATAAAGTTAACCAAGGAGGTAAAAGACCTGTACTCGGAAAAGTACAGGATTTTGAAAAAAGATATAGAGAAAGATATAAACAAGTGGAAGAACATACCATGTTCATGGATTGGTATAAACATCATTAAAATGCCCATACTACCCAAGGCAATCTATAGATTCAATGCAATGCCTATTAAAATACCAACAGCATATTTTACAGACCTAGAACAAATACAAAAATTTATATGTTACCAAAAAAGACCCCAAATAGCTGCAGCAATCTTAAGAAGAACAATATTGGAGGAATCACAATACCAGATATCAGGTTATACTACAAAGCCACCGTACTCAAAAGAGCCTGGTCCTGGCACAAGAACAAGCATATAGATCAATGGAACAGAACAGAGAACCCAGAAATCAACCCAAGCCATTATGCTCAATTAATATTGGACAGAGGAGGCAAGAGCATACAATGGAGCAAAGACTGTCTCTTTAATAAATGGTGTTGGGAAAATTGGACAGGTGCATGCCAAAAAATGAAACTAGACCACCAACTTACACCATTCACAAGAATAAACTCAAAATGGATAAAAAACTTAAGTGCAAGATGTGAAACCATAAAAGTCCTAGAAGAAACTATAGGCACCAAAATCCCAAACATCTCTTGTAGCAATATGTTTGCCAATACATCTCCTAGGACAATGGAAACTAAGGAGAAAATAAACAAATGGGACTATATCAAAATACAAAGCTTCTGCAGAGCAAAAGGAACCATCACCAAAATAACAAGGGAGCCCACTGCATGGGAGAACACATTTGCCAATGATTACATCTGATAAGGTGTTACTATCCAAAATATATAGAGAACCTATACAACTTAACAAAAGGAAGATAAACAATCCAATTAAATTAAGTTGGGCAAAGGACCTAAATGGACATTTCTCCAAAGGGACATACAGAAAGCCAAAGACATATGAAAAAATGCTTAAAGTCACTAATCATCTGAGAGATGCTAATGAGATATCAATGACAATGATATCTCACATCTGGCAGAATGGCTATTATCACAAATTAACAAATGCCAAGTGTTGGGTAGGATGAGGAAAAAAGGGAACCCTGGTATACTGCTGGTGGAAATGCAGACTGGTGCAGCCATTATGGAAAACAGTATGGAGTGTCCTCAAAAAATTAAAAATGGAACTTCCATTTGATCCAGTAATCCCACTTCTAGTAAAATATGCTAAGAAAATTGAAACATCAGAAAGAATATATGCACCACTATGTTCATAGCAGTGCAATCCTATATAATAAAAGGCTAATATGCAAAGTGTCTCCTAGGTCGGGAGTTTGACCACTGGGATCTTGACCTCTCGCTATGATGTGTGCTGACCACCAGGGGGCAGTGAAGAGCGAAGAAAGGCTCTGGCTGGCAGCCAGCAGCCACTAGGAACCCTACCCATGCATGACTTTCATACACTGAGCCTCTAGTTTACAACAATTAAGATTTGAAAACAGTCTAAGTGCCCATCAGTAGATGAGTGGATAAAAAACTTTTACATTTACACCAATCTTATCACACCCATGGGCCGCGTGCCTTATTTGCCCCCTGTTAGCCATTGAGTTTGACATGTTTGATTTACACAATGAGATACTACCTAGCTGTATAAAAGAATTTGCAACTGCATGGGTTGACTTGGAGAGCAGTATGCTAAGTGAAATAAGTCAGTCAGAGAAAGAAAAGTAAAAAAGCTGATGAACAAAAATAGACCCAGAGACACAGAAGCATGGAACGGACTGTTGAACCTCAGAAGGAAGGCTGGAGTGAGGTGGATGGGAAGGGATCAACCAATGAACTTATGCATAACCTGTGGACACAGACCATGAGGAGGTGAGGACCTGGATGGGGGGCAGGACAGGGGCGCACTGGTAGAGGTCAATGGCAGAAAAAGAGGACCTGCTTTTTCAACAATAAAGATAAAATGTAAACAGAAAGAATGAGGGTAGTCTAAAACCCCAACAGCCTCCACCGTGTTGTGCTTTATGATCTCATATACTTTCCCAGCATTTTTGTGAGGTAAGCACCACTGTCACTCCCTTTTACAAATGGGTAAACTGAGGCACAGAGTGATCAAAGAACATGTCCAAAGTCTTACAGTTAAAAAAAAGGCATAGCTACTTTTGTTTTTATCTGTAAAAGCTAAGCGCTCTTTTAAACACACACACACACACACACACACACACACACACACACACACAATGACAGTAATATTATCACAGTGATTTCTGAGTAAGTATCCTGGCCAGTGTTGTATACACAGCTGTCAAAGTGCAAAACCAGGACTTAAGTCCTGGCTCAAAGGCCACCCGCCTCTCCGTGCTAGTGGGACAGGCCCAGGCACACTTGTCCCCACTCAGACCTGGGGCTGCACCTTGGACTAGGGCCCGGCCCCCTGTGTGCTGCAGGAATGGCTCTGGGGACTCCAAACCTCACGGACGGGGAGACGGAAGGTGCAGGTCATTCTTACCTTGGCACGTGTTCTCACTCGCATTATGGAACTTTGTTTCCCCAGAAAGAAGGCTGTATCCGGGGCTGCATGTGCAGTAGTAGCCCCCCTTTGTGTTATGGCAGTCTGCGGCGTTTCCACAGACAGTCCCTGGCTGGCCTTGTCCACATTCGTCAATGTCTGCAACAAAACGGGATAAAGGGTCACCTCCCAAAGCCATGAGTGCCCTCAGGGCAGAGAGCCTGGTCCCATGCCCAGCATGCAGCCTGAAGCTCAATCAGTGTCTTTTGGGAAATAATTAGATTCTGGCAACACTGCTGTGGCTGGAGCAAGCCACTCCTGAAACCCACCCAATCGGCTCTGCTCCGCTCAGCTTTCTGCCTGTCCCCTGGATTTGGATCCAGGAGCAAGTGCTGAAGTGGTGGGAGGGTGGAAGCTCTGCATCCCCCTTTTCAGTCCTGGTAGGGTAAACTGAGGCACGGATTCCAGACTCCTAGAGCCCCAGCTCCCATCTCTTTCTCTACAAAGTCATGTTTATTCACTTCTCATTTCCACCTTCATATCTTTTTCCTTCTCTTTTCTCTGTCCTTCATCATGGTCTGAGCACAAAGACTGAGGCCACCAATCACTATTCCATCTCCATGTAGCCCTCCACCGCCCCAAGCCTCTGTACCTTCACAAGTCTCCCAGGGGTTGATGTTGGTCTCCCCAGATGGAGACTTGAATCCAGGATCACAGCGACAGGAAATGGCAAAGCCACATGAGGAGTTTGGAGGGCATAAAAGGTTACAGGCAGAGGCTGTGGGACAGAGACCAAGGTCAGGAAATGAGGGTGAGCCAGAGGCTGGGAAGGGACTTGGGAGGGGCAACTCCGAGCTACCCCTGCAACAGGCCTTTCCCTGCCTGGGCTGAGAGGTGCAGGTGGGGGATGGGACTGGTTGTGGACGGAGTTATTCCCAGTAGACTCACCCCTGGCGCTCTGGGGTCCATCTTCCAACAGAATCAGCAAGACACACAGCCCTGGAACAGAGAGATGGGGGTCAGGGGGGCACAGAACAGGGAGGGAGGCCTGAGGGGGACACATCTGAGGGAAGGGGCTGCTCACCCCTCCAGGCTCGGGCTCTGTCCATTCTCAAGGCGAGAGTGGCCGGTGGCACCTCCCTGGCCTCCAGTGCCCCTGGCCAGAGGGTCCGCTCCCATCGCCTGAGGGGGCTTCCAGGCACTGAGGGATGGGGAGGGGCCGAGCCTGGCAGGGGTCTTGGCTTCTGCTGACCTGTGGGCAGCAGTTCAGGAGACATACTGGAGCCAGGTGGCCTTGGCTCTACTTCCAGACCCTGGTCAGTGCCTCAGTTTCCCCTTCTGTAGAATGGGGATGAGGAGGGGGCCTTTCCCTAGAGTGTGAGAATCAAGCACACAAGTACTGCCTGGTGTGTCAGAGTGCTTGCTGCCGTCATTTCTTTATGTAAAAATGAAGGGTTGGGCCAGGTGTCCTCTCGGATCTCCCAAAGCTAAGATGCTCCGGCCACACCCCTCCTCAGGGACACAGGTGCAAGCACACTGCACCCACACCTGTCAGCCACAGGACCAGCTCCGGACCCCATGGTGACATTTCACACCCTGGCTCCCTGCACACAGGAAGATGCTGGGGCTCATGTTAGGGGTGGTGATGCACAGGGCACCCCATTTCAGGGCATGCCCTGGGGCTTCTGAGCTTCTTTTTAAGTCAACAGGGGTTCAAGAAACAAAGACCATTCATCTGAGAGACAGACAGGAGGCAGAGGTGGAGAGAAAAAAAAAAAAGGAGGGAGGGAGGGAGGGAGGGAGGAGGGAGGGAGAGGGAGGGAGAGAGAGGGAGAGAGAGAGAGAGAGAGAGAGAGAGAGAGAGAGAGAGAGAGAGAGAGAGAGAGAAACAGAGAGAGAGAAACAGAGAGAGAGAAACAGAGAGAGAGAAACAGAGAGAGTTAACAGTGATCTGAAGAGATGGACAGAGAAATAGGAAACTCCTAGAAAGGAAGAGATAGAGATTAGTTAGAGAGACCTTGAGAGGTAGAGAGATTGAGAGCCAGATAGAGAAACAGAGGAGTAGGGAAGGTGGGAGGGAGAAAAGGAGGGAGGATACCTGGGCAGCAGTGGGCTGTGGGGAGGACTTAAGGGATCCATCCAGTCCCTGCTGATCTAGAGATGCTGGGGAGGCAGTTCAGACCCAGATAATCCAGGGAGGCCAGATGGGGGCGGCGGATGGAGGGATGGGGGCCAGGGAGACAGGGCAGGAGTGAGTCACCTCCTGGGCCAAATGAAGGGATAACTCAGAGCTCCCAGTCCCCCATGGAGGGGCTCCCAGTCCCCCATGGAGGGGCTCCCGGTCCCCCATGGAGGGGCTCCCAGGGGGATTTGGGGTCTGTCAGTGTGAGCACAACTTGAGGAGCTGTGAAGGGTGCAGACTGGAGTGTACCCTGAGCACTCAGTTCCAGTGTCCAATCTTGATACCCCTCAGGCCAGCAGAGGGCAAAGACCCCCACACCCTCCCTGAGGCCCGCACAGATAAGGTAAACTGAGGCTGGACTTCCTGTCTTCCTCCTCTGGGGCCACAGGGTTTGGTTAGTTCTCTCTTTGGTGGAAACACACTTCCTCTTTTAGGACAGACCACAAAATGGCCTTCCCTGCCAGGGCGGGTTCTGGGCCAAATCGTCCCCAGCTCCCAAAGCCCCAATAGCAATTTCCATGCTCACAACCGTCCAAGGAGACAGAGACTCTATTTATGTCCACTCTGCAGATGAACAAACTGAGGCTCAGAGCCCGGGAAAGGCTTATGGAGAATCTGGTGAGAGGGGGCTGGGGAAGATGGAAGTGAGGGGTAAGTTCCCCAGACCCTGCAGGGAGGGGTTCTCTGTGCTGAGCTGGGCTTTCCTGCCCCACCACAGAGGCTGCTGGGCCAGAGCCCACCTGGGGCCCAGGAAGGCCCCCAAACAGGAGCCTGGAGAGGGGGGCAGGTCGCCTGCTCCCAGTCCCATCTGGGTGCATTCCCCTAGCTGAGCCCTGGGCAGTCAGATTTCTGCCTGGGGCCCTGGGGCAGGGGTGGGGCCAGCTTTCTCTCCTGGCTCCACTGGCTAAGACAGAACTCCCCCCTCCCCCCGCCCCTGCCTCCAGTGAAATAATAATAATAGTAACATTAACAACAACAACAACAATAATCACTTAATTCTCACTGTGAACCAGGACTCAACCCTTAACACAGCCTGTGAAGGGGAGACCAGTCTTGCTCTGCCCCATTTCACAGACCTGGAAAGAGGATCAGGGGCTCTGTGACTTGGTCCCCTGACGCACTGTCCCCTGCAGGTGAGCTCCACACAGACCGGGAAAATTTATTAAAAATCATCTAATTGTAATCATGCAACAGGCGAATTACATGCTATGGAAATTACACTTCACCTTGATAAAAACAAAAAACAGCTCAAGCCTGGTACCCTGGGATGCACAGGGAGCACCATCCCTGTGCCCTGGGGAAGTTCTGATTGGCTTGGGATGTTCAGGGGAAGTTAAGTAATTTCTTAACTCTCTTTGTTGCCCCGATAACCTGATAACCGTTAGAGCCACCCTGGGTGGGGCGGGAAGGGCGGCCAGGGGGAAGTCAGAGCTGAGCTCAGGCTCGTCCCACAGCGCAAAGCCCTAACGCACAGCTGAATCCCCGCTGGGTCTGGGGGAGCACAAGAGGGGGTCTCCGGGCTTCCCCTGCCACACGAAGGGAGACGTGTTGGGGTCACCCCATTGTAGAAGATCCCCCTTAGCTCCCTAGCCCCCTCTCTGCCCTCTGCTAAGAGTGACTTCCTGAGAGGTTCACAGCAGTCCTTCACCCCCTCTCTTCCATTGGCTCTAGTTTCCCCTCTTAGGGAGCAGCTTCTAAAGTGGAAGGAGCTTGGAGATCTCTCTGGGGGTGGGGAACAGACCCCAGCACTGCCAGCTGCTCTCCCATGTGCCATGATTCCCGCCTCTGCCAGCTGCTCTCCCATGTGCCATGGCTCCTCTCCCATGTGCCAGGGCTCCCGCATGTGTCTTTCTCCATGTCAGGCCCCAGAGCTGCCAGCAGTGCCTCCTATTTCTCCTCATTGTGGGGTGGGCGGACAAGGAAGCATAGGAACAATAAGGGTGCTGCCAGGGGTTCCCTTACTCCTCCCATAGGGGCCCCCAAATTCTCACCTTGTAGGATGTGGAAGGCACTAAGGCAAGGACCTCCCATTGTCTGGGCAGGGTGGTTCCGTGTCTCCAGGCTGGGCAGCTGTGCATGCAGCTGTGGCCTCATGGCCCTTATAAAGTGTGTGTGTGTGTGTGTGTGTGTGTGTGTGTGTGTGTGTGTGGGTGTCAGAGGTTATATCTCATGACCTGCAGGCTGCCCCATAGGGAAATTATAATACAACCCAATTGTAATTAACTGACTGGCTCGTACAGGGAGCACCCAAGAGGCCTGTAAGCCAGTGCCCTGAGCCCTTCTGTCTGTTTTAGACAGCCCGGAGAGAAACCGAAGCATGTAAGAGGGTTAAATTGAGACATGAGGGGTGAGAGCTTCATGGAACTCAATCCAAATCAATACACTTCTCAACCCACTACATAACACCCCTAGAAAATTTGCTCAGACTCTGCAGATATTCAATAATAATAATAAATTTTAAAAGATGGGAAATTGCACCTCTGAGTTTGCTAAACCCCAAGAATCCCAAACCCCTGTTAACACTGCAGCAGGGTACATGTACAATTCATACAGAATTTCAACTTGCAAGTATCTACAAAAAAATGGGAAAATTTAACTAAAAATGATATTAGTTTTAACATTAAAAAAACAAAAACAAAAACCACAACACATTGAAACCTGTAAAGAATTTTTGTGAGTTTATTTGAGCCAAACTGTCGACATATGCTGGGAAGCAGAACCTCAGCGAATTGAGATAATGCTCCGGAGAATGGCGGGCTACATCTGTATTTATACATTACAGTCAAAGGAGGGACATAAGTGGGTTAAATAAAATTTATTGGTGATGGATTAAGGAGATGGGGTAAAGCAAAGCTGGGAAAAACCCCTGGGATTGGATAAAAAGTAAATGATGGACACATACTTAGGTGAGTGCAGGAACAATTAACATGATAATGAAGGAATTTGTGGTATCTGTCCTGGTGCCCACCACATTAGGTTGTGCCCCAAGGGGTCCAGAAAAAGGGAAGTTACAAGTTACCCAGAGACTTCAAGAGTATGTTATTATAGATGCAAAAAGACAGATAGGCTCAGTTAAGGTGAAGGTTGACTTTGTTGGGGAAGATACTGGCCTAGGACGTAACTGCCCACCATAACTGCGTTCAGTTAAAGTTTAATTTCAGACCATCCTTTGTGATTACTTTAGGTCTATGAGTTTGCAAGACTGCCCTGCAGGCCTCCCCTGAGCTTGTCAGGTCAGCATGTGGCCCATTTCGTCCACATCAACTTGAAATGGCCAAAGTGGGGGAACTTTTGACCCCTCCAAACTGAGTTTTCTGCATGCTCAATTAGAAAAAGCTGGCTCTAAAGTTAAATTAAATGAATGGAAAGCTTATCTTGATTGGAAATTAGAGGCTTCTAGAAGAGGATCAGGTAAAATATCTTCCCTATAGAAAGTTAATATGAAAATTGTAGAGACTGTCTCTGAACTAAAGAATTCTGAAGCAAGTGTGGTCTAAAGGAGCCACATGCTAAACTGACAAGCTCAGGGGAGGCCTGCATGGTGGTCTTGCAAACTCAGAGGCCTAAACCACAAAAGATGGCCTGAAAATTAAATATTTAACTACAAACAGGTTATAGTGGGCAGTCATTTCTAAGCTGATATTTTCCCTGACAAAGACCAACTTAGATCTTTCCTTAGCCCATTTGCCCTTTTGCCTCTAAGATAACGTATCTGTAAGATGTCTGGGTAACTTGTAACTTCCCTTTTTTTCTGGAGCCCCTGGGGCACAACTGAATGTGGTGGGCACCTGGACAGATACCACAAATTTCTTCATTCTCATGTTAATTGTTCCTGCACTCACCTAAGTATGTGTCCATCCTTTCACTTTTTATCCAATCCCAGGGGTTTACAACCGCTTTGCTTTTTCCCACCTCCTTAATCCGTCACCAATGAATTTCATGTAACCCATCTATGTTACATGATTGCAATGTATAAATAGAAATGTAACCTGCCATTCTTTGGAACATTATCTCAATTCACTGAGGTTTTGCTTCCCAGCATATGTTGACAGTTTGGCTCAAATAAACTCTCTAAAATTCTTTACAGGTTTCAATGTTTGTTTGTTTGTTTTCCATTAACATAAGTAAGGGCAGAGACCTCATTTCTCCCCCCTTCTACTGCTCCTCCATCTTTGTTCTCTG